CCCTCATCCCCACGGGGCCTTCCTGCCAACTTTGGGTTCTCCTGCCCCTCATCCCCACGGGCCTTCCTGCCAACTTTGGGTTCTGCCCCTCATCCCCACGGGGCCTTCCTGCCAACTTTGGGTTCTCCTGTCCCTCTGGAGGGGCTGAGCCTGTTCTCCCCCGCAGGGCCTCCCAGCCGGCATTGCCTTTTTCAGTCCCTCTGGCATTACCTACACTCTCAAGCATATTCAAGAGTTATCTGGTGACAGCATTGATCAAATTAAGGTAAGATACACAGTGGGGTTTTGTGTCACCCCGTTTAATCCCACAATGGCCCAGTGAAGGGTCCAGTTCCCTTTCAGTTTTACAGAGAAGGAGATGGAAGCCAGAGAGGGTGGGTCACATCAAGGCCACTGTCCTATGGGGCTGGAATTTGAACCCTGGCCCTCTGGCCCCAGAGCCCCTGTGTGCTTTCCTGGGGGATCCAGGAGCACCCTTTGCCACACCCAGCTCCTGTGGACCCCACACAGGACCCCTTAACAGCCAAAGCAGAGCGAGCTGGAGCTGGAGCTGGAGGAAGGGCTGCAGGGATGCAGCCCCTATGCCAGGTGCCCATTGGCCTGTGCATCCCTGCCCTTGGCCTGAGTTCTGGGAACAGCGTGTTCTCAGGGTGGCAAGGGGGCTGGGATAAGGCTGTGGGTGCAGGGGTATTTTTCAGATTGAGGCAGCGTCATCATTTATGGAAGCGCATCACATGAAGAGCAAGGTCCAACAGGCGCCTGCGGCCCGCCCCACTCCCCCAGAGCTGCTGCTGCACTGAGGCTCTGCTCTCCCTCTCTCTAGTTCGCAGCCATTGGCCCCACCACGGCTCGTGCCCTGGCCACCCAGGGACTGCCTGTGAGCTGCACTGCAGAGAGCCCCACGCCGCAGGCCCTGGCCACGGGCATCAGAAAGGCATTGCAGCCCCAGGACTGCTGTTGAGTCAGCTGCCCTGCAGCCTTGCCCTGTGGCTGTCCTGGGCTGGGCTCCTCCCCACGGGCAAGGACCACTGGACGCTGCTTCCACATGGAGCTGGGCATCAGGGCCCTTGGGAGCTGCCACCATCAAACTTCTGCCTCAAGTCTGAGTGGAACCAGCTGGAAACCAGGAATCAGGTCACATGCATGTGACCACCCTCCACAGACACCAGCTTAGACTCCAGCCCAGGCCCTGTGAGGAAGGAAACCAAATAAACCACACTGGCTACGTGTGCTCCCTGGCGTTTGTTACTTGCTGGGTGTCATTTTCAGTGCAAAGCTGTGTCCAGGAGGAAACAGATATGCTCATCTTTGGTAACTGACAGACCTGGTATAAATGATAAAATTTGCTCTGTATACAGCCAGTTTATTCATGCTATAAAAAAGACCTTGACGTTCCTGCTTGTGAGCTCTGGACAACTGCATTCAAATACACAGGCCCCCTTCAGAGACGCACTGCTGTACTGCACAGCCAGACCATCTTCTCTGCCGGGGGGGAGGGCCTGGGAGGGTGGTACCTACTTACAAGGCTTTGAAAATCTGTCCCCAAGCTTTGTTCCTACTTTGTAGATCTTGGCCTGGAATTTCAGGTGGGTTGAATGAAACCTGGGTCTGTCTGAGTGGCAAGCGGGCTGGTGGAGGGGAGGGTCACTCCTGCCCACACATCTCTGTCCTTGAGCCGCCCTGCTGGGAGGCACCTTACGTCAAACAGCCACCATGTGCTGCAGCCCTGTGCACAGCACCCTTCCCCGTGACAACCCCAGAGTGTACCTTACACTTGTTCCCTTTTTTTCTGGTGAAGAAATCGGCTTAAAAGGTAAAACAGCTTCTCAGGGTGACATAGCTAGTGAGTGACAGAACCAGGACAAAATTAAAGTGGATCATGGTAATAGTTGCGACTCCTTGTCCCAGAGGCTTAGGTAAAGTAGTACAGACACCGCTGTGCATCCGAGCAGTCTTACTGGGCCACTGCCGGCCCCCCAGGTGCAGGCTGTGCCAGTGCTCAGGGATTTGCCACCTCCTTACTGGCTTAACTTCCCACAGTGAGTGATTTGCAGGAAGTGGCAGGGTCTCTTTTATTTTACCTGTGTGGAAAATTGCTCCTCTACTCCAGAGAAGGTAAAAAGCATTTTGAAAAGAACTCAACTTGGCTTGGTGCCTATAGCTCAGCAGCTGGGGAATTGGCCACATACACCGGGGCTGGGGGTTCAAACCCAGCCTGAGCCTGCCAAACAACAATAACAACTACAACAAAAAAATGGCCCAAAGTTGTGGCAGGTACCTGTAGTCCCAGCTACTTGAGAGGCTGAGGCAACAGAATCGCTTAAGCCCAAGAGTTAGAGGTTGCTGTGAGCTGTGACGCTACGGCACTTTACTGAGGGCGACATACTGAGAGAAAAGAAAAGAACTCAAGTGAATTAGCCTCCTTGTCAGCTACCCCACCATCTTCACGTAGTTCAGCTGCCCAGGGTCTTAGAAGCCCACCTTAACTGTCCCCAGGCCACTGACAATGACTGAGAGGACACTCTGAGAACCCAGCACAGGCAGGAGCTCAGTCCAGGTGCAGACATAATGTACTGGACAATAAGCTCAGCGAGGTCCAGTGACAGCCAAACAGCACCGGCACACAGCTCTAGGCAGAGAACATTCTACTCACCAGCTCACAAACCCAAGCTGCCCTTTTTTTTTGCCTTTTTAGAGCTGCTTGCTCTTCCTGACCTCACCCATGTGTGGCCACAGCAGGGAGAAGGACTCGCTTAGCAGAGAGCCCAGAGATCCTGTCTGAGGGGAGGGTTAGCTCCTTGACTGCCTGACTCACCGGAAAGCCATGAAGTAAAGGCCCAGCAGGAACATGGCCACCAGGGTGGCGCCACCAGTGAGGAAGAGAAGTTTCATCTGGAGGTCACAAGTCTCAGATTTGCCTGAGCAGAGAAGCGCAGGCCAGCAGGGAATGTGGACTCCCTTCCCACACGGCCACAGGGGCCCTGGGTGTGCCCCTTCAGAGAGGGAGGGAGGATGAACCCAGATAGAGATCTTTACTCATGTAGAGCACAAATGAGTTCCCAGAGGTGGGAGGGAGGTTTATGTGGGGACAAAAAGGGACTGCGGTGCAGACTCCACAGACACGCAGGTCAGGACACACGCTGGGAAGAGCCTGTCCCTTCAGTGGACAGTGATGTGCAGCTGTAAGGAGCAGCCCCGAGCAGGAGCTAATGGTCTCACTCCCTCACCCGGGGCTCTGACCTGGGTTCACTTTCAGAGTCGAATGGACCCCTGCTGGACTTCAAGCTCAAAGATTGCCTATGGGAAGGATGTTTTCAATACTGAGAACATGGAATCCATTTTGTAAATGTGCATTTTTACTTAATTGTTAATTTTTGTCATTGCAGTTTTTGGCTGGGGCTGAGTTTAAACCTGCCACCTCTGGTATATGGGGCCAGGCGCCACCCCTGTGTGCATTTTTTAATGATGCATTTTTAGGAGAAAAATGTAACTGTCCCACTGACAATTAGGTCATGCATCTCATGGCTTAAGTAGATTCTTGAAGCTTTTAACCAAACCTTACCTAGGCTCAGAGATGGGAGGTGGCCTGTGCAGACCAGGAAGCAGCTTGTCCAGGAGCCCTGGTCCCTCCTCCTGTCGTTATTGGACGTCACGTGCCTTCCTCTGCCATCTTCTCTCCTAATTCCAGTTGCTTTCCTTGCAATTCAGTTCACCTGGAATAAGCAATTTGGTTAATCAGGCACTTGAGTGTTTAGTGATAATTGTGGAAAAGAATGCTCCCAGAGAAAAGCCAACAGTCCAAACGGTAAGCACAGTTCCCCACGTCCTGTCATCCCCTGCTGCAGAGGCCTGCTGCACAATAATGTTTAAAAAAATAACCTTAGGAGTAAGACCCTTCAATAACAAATTCCTCAAGCCTGTGATGCCTGTCTTTGTTCATTTGTGCTACTATAACAAAACACCAGAGAATATTTATAAATAATAATTTATAAACAATAGAAATGTATTTTCTGGCTTGGTGCCTGTAGCTCAGCAGCTAGGGCACCACATACACTGGAGCTGGTGGGTTTGAACTCGGCCCGGGCCTGCCAAACAATGACAACTACAACAAAAAAGCCAGGCATTATGGCGGTGAGGTGCCTGTAGTCTCAGCTACTTGGGAGGCTGAGGGAAGAGACTCGCTTAAGCCTAAGAGTTTGAGGTTGCTTTGAGCTATGACGCCATGACACTCTAACAAGGGCCACATAGTGAGACTTTGTCTCAAAAAAAAAAAATTATTTTCTAATAGTTCTGGAGACTATAAAGTCCAAGGTTAAGGTTTGGCATCTGACAAGGGTCTGATCTCTGCTTCCAAGATGGCACCTTGAACACTGTGTCCTCACGTGCCTGAAGGGGCAGGAGGGCAAAGGGCTGAGCACCTTTCATAAGGACACTGCTGGGGCAGAGCCCTCGGTACTCGACTCCCCAGGGCTGTGTCTCTTCCAGCTGTTGCACTGAAGGTCACATTTCCACACGAATTTTGGATGGACACAAACATTCAAACCATAGCGGTCTTCGGTAAGGATCATTTTACCCCCATTAGGGAGGGCTGCCACGTAAAACATGCAAACCATAGGAGTGCTGGGTTAGGATCATTTTACCCCCATTAGGGAGGGCTGCCACGTAAAACATGCAAACCATAGGAGTGCTGGGTTAGGATCATTTTACCCCCATTAGGGAGGGCTGCCACGTGAGTTTTGAGACCTGACTTTCAGAAGCACAGTCTTTGGCCAGCGCCCACAGAGCGCACAGGGGAGAGGCTGCCTGCCTCCATCTTCATGCAGAGCACAGGGCGCAGGGCCAGTGGTGGCTACTGGTCCTTGTGAGCGTGTTCCCCACGTCCCAGGGGCTGCCTTGCTGCTGCAGCACGGGGTGTGGGGCCAAACACCCAATCCAGGGGCCAACTAGGAACGCCCGTCCCCCCCAAGTCACAGTGCAGGCCTATGGAAACCCATTGTCCTCAAGCCCGGGGAGGGGTCCTGGGTTGCCACACAGTCAGTGCCACAGACGGGTTGAGGGGATCGAGAATATTTCACCCTTGGAGATCCAGCCCAGTAGCAGGGCTCCATCTTCAGGGTCCAGAGAGACTCAAGGCTTCTCTGAGAGGGGAAACCAAGCAAGACAGCCTGGGTTGAGGTATGTATCCTAGAACCTCAAGTGATTCTAGTTTATCCTTATATGAAACTTCTAACCCATAGAATGGGACACTGTGCGGTCATTAATTAGAATGATAAATACATTCACAAACACAGAAAAGTGCTGTGACATTCTGTTGAGTTATAATAATAAAGACCGTATGTTTTATGTGAAATTTTAGACACACAAATAATTCTCTACACACGTACACGGATGTGTCTGCAAGCGTACTCACAGAAACATTACCACCTAAATTACTTGTCGTTCCCTTAATTTTCGGTACTTTTAAATTTTATAATAACTGATAAGGTATTCTTTTTATCAAGAAAAAAAAAAGATGAAAAACAAGAAAAGCCTGAGAAACAAACTAAAACTCCTCTAACCCACTTCACCAAGGAAGAAACCTCCAACTATGAGCAAACTACCGTTCATGGTTCTCAGCTCAGGCCCAGTTCTGGGGTGCAGGTTGTGAGGGGGGAGGGTTTGTGCCTCCACTGACACCAGTGGAGATTCCTAGCAATTCCAGAGCAGCAAACTCACCCACACGTATCTCCATGGAAATGGATTCCGCAGGCATCTGCAGGTTTGCAATGTAATTACCCGAGGGTTGTGCAAACACAGAGACCCGAGAGGAGGGAGTTCTCACACCCATGAGGAAGGTGGCCCTGGGGTCTTCAAAGGCAGCACGCAGGGCCTGCTGTGTGGCGCCTAGTGGGCACGCTTCAGGGCTAGGTGGGAAACACGTGGCACGGGGAGGCCCTCCCTCCGTGGTGGCTGCTTACAAAAGATACCCCAGGCCAGGCTCATCAAAGAGGGGAGACTGGGACGGAGCCAGGCAAGGAGCACCAGAGTTCCCATCCCACCATGCTCACTGCCTCCATCTTCCGTCCGACTCTGCTGCTCTGCTGGTTCACTGCCCCCAGCCCAGCCAGGCCTGAGACCCTCTTCCACAGCCGGGACCACTCAGACCTGGAGACCTCCCCCCTGCGCCAGGCCAAGCCCATTGCCGACCTCCATGCTGCTCAGGTAGGAGAGGGCAGGAAGAATAGCACCACCCTTAAGCACACACCCATGTACACGCATACACACCCATGCATGCTCAATGTGCACACCCATGCACCCACATGCACACACACACACCCCCCGTGCACATGTGATGTGCACACATGTACACACACATAGGCCAGGATTCGGCAGAGTAAGGGCTGGGTTGTGCAGAGTCTGGGAAGGGACAGACAGGCTGGGTGGAGGGAGCTACACAGGCTTCTGTGGTTCCTGTAGGAGCAACGATACTTAATGACATTAGTTGGTAGCCCACAGGGTGGCCTCCAGTAAGGGATCAATGCTGCGCATCACGTGACATTTTAAGTGGCCAAGCCACAGTTCTGACAGCATTCCATGGCTGTCCGCCATGCCAGTCTCTGAGGGTTTGGAGAAGGGTGGCCTTAGCAGAGGTCCCTACATAGCAGCACCAGGCTCCTCAGCAGAGCTGCCCGGTGACATCCATTGCTTTTGCTGCAGCTCAGGGTGAAGGACATGGGCAAGGAACCCAGTGGGGGAGATTCCTGCTTCCAGGGAGTCCTGGTGGAATGGAGTAGACAGGGGAGGCCCTTGAACCCACCCTGGACAGTGGTCCTGGTGGTCACCATACACTGAGCAGATGGCTGGGATTTCCCAGGTTAATCTCTGGCCCCAGGGGTGCCCTGGAGGTGAGGGCAGTGAGGGGGCACAGCTGGCCTGGGTCTGCCCTGTCACACAGTTGTGGCCCACCCCTGACCCTGGCCTCTCTGCCTCTGTGGGCTGGGAAGAAGCCCCCAGGAACTCAGGCTCAGCTCACAGGTTGGGCTCCCTATAGCCTCCTCCACACTGTGACGTACGTCCTCACCTCCCACCCTGACCTCTGCTCTGTACCCATGACCCCTCCCCCCACCTCACCCACCAGGCCTGCCCAGCTCTCCTCAGGCCACAGCTGACCCTCTCTGTGTCTGCCTCACTATCTCTCTGTCTAGCAGAGCAAGGGGCAGGGCAGGACTGGGTGGCCTCATGGATGTGGGTGTATTTCTCTCCACAGCAATTCTTATCCAGATACGGCTGGTCGGGGTCTCAAGGAACCTGGGCCCCCAGCCCCGAGGGGCCACCAGAGGCCACCAAGGCCACCGCACTGGCTGAGGCGGTCCGCAGATTCCAGCGGGTGAACGCGCTGCCAGCTAGTGGGGAGTTGGATGCGGCCACACTAGCGGTCATGAACAGGCCTCGCTGTGGAGTCCCTGACACAAGGCTGCCACCGCCTGCCGCCCCCCCATCCCCTCCAGGCCCACGCCCCAGGGCTGCCCGATGCAGGCGCTTCTTGCAAATGCTGCTGCTCAGGCCCGGCCGGCAGCAGGAAGAGCCCCCAGGTGGAGGGGCTGCCAGGGCCTTCTCCAAAAGGACCCTGACCTGGAGACTGGTGGGCGAGGCCTTGAGCAGCCAGCTCTCCGTGGAGGAGCAGAGACACATTTTCAGACTGGCCTTCAGGATGTGGAGTGAGGTGACACCACTGGACTTCCGGGAGGATCTCTCTGCCCCTGGGCCCATGGTTGACATAAAACTGGGTTTTGGGAGAGGTGAGAAGGGTGCAGCCTGGCTCCCCCTGCCTCCCTGGCACCTAATAGCTGGCCACTTGGCCATGGGTAAATGCCACCTCAGCCCCGGCCTGGCTGCAGTGGCCTGCAGGGTGGGGCCTCAAACCCCTACCTCCTGGGCTTGTTCTGGGATGACCCCTGCAAGGCGGGACAGATCGATCTCCCCCCTCCTCTGTAGAAGGTGCCTTATTAGAAGAGAAGGCTCCTCACACTTCAGAGAGCCTGGCCAGCCACATGAGGACCCTGGGGCCAGGTCTTCTGCCCTTCAGAGCAGCCCTGTGGGTGCAGGGCCATGTGGACCCCCATGAATTGAGCACATGCCAACCCTCCACCCTCTCCCACCTCCCAGGGAGAAGGACCAAGTCAGGGAACTCAGGGCTCCAGGCCCAGACACCACCACACCCTTGCCCAGTGGATGTGGACAAATGATTTAGCTTCTCTGCTGCTCCATCGCCCCACTAAGGGTGCTGACAGCTGCCTTGCTGGTCTCACTGGATTAAAGTCGCAGAGGGTACAGGGGCACGGGGTTGAAAAGCCATACAAATGCAGGGGACGGTGACTCCTTTGTTTCACGACTTACTCAGAGGTTAGGATCTGGCTGTCATCCCATCTCCTGTTAAACCTTTTAGGCATCAACTCTGTCCCCCATGCCCACGCTCGCCTGGCTGGGAGAGTAAGGCAGCCCCCGCTCCATTCCCCTGGCACTGGGCCTCACTGTCCTCAGCAGTCTTTAGACTCTGTGAACACTGCGTGAGCCGTGTCTCCCATGCTCCTCCCACTGAGGAGTGAAGCCAGGAGCTGGCGCCGCGTCCACTCCCACGACCGGAGGCAATTCTTCCAGGCTGGAGCCCCACACTGTGTGTGCTCAGTAGCTGGAGTCTGTGCGATGGGCTCCATGCTCACCTGGACCATGCCCCTCTTCCCTCACCAGGCCGGCACCTGGGCTGTCCTCGGGTTTTTGACGGGAGTGGACAGGAGTTTGCTCACGCCTGGCGCCTGGGTGACATTCACTTTGACGATGACGAGCACTTCACACCTCCCACCAGTGACATGGGCATCAGCCTTCTCAAGGTCAGTGTCCTGAGCTGCTCACGCTGACAGGCAGGGGCCATGCGGCACGGGCTGGAGTCCAAAAGCCCAGAGCTCTTCATCCATGTCCCCCTCCTCCCTCTCTGATGGTGCCCACAGCTCCTCCCGCTGGGGTTCCCCTTCTCCTTGACAAGCACAGCTCTTCCTGAAACACAGGCCCACCTTCTGTAACTTGGTCAGCCCCAGGCTTGACCCCACACAGTGGTTTGTGTTCTCGTAGGTGGCTGTCCATGAAATTGGCCATGTCCTCGGCCTGCCTCACACCTACAGGACAGGATCCATAATGCAACCAAATTATATACCCCAAGAGCCTGCATTCGAGCTGGACTGGTCAGACAGAAAAGCCATCCAAAGGCTGTACGGTAGGGCCATCCTAGGGTAATTCTCGGGGCTCACAGAGCATGCTCAGTACTCCACAGTCCACAGGAACCCCTCCCCTCACTGGGAGCCTGGTACCCAAAGGCACAAAGTTGTACAGCTCTAGTGAGTAGCTCTCCTCTGGCTCCATGATGCAGTTCTCTTACTTAAAAGTGGGCCCACCCAGACTGCAGCCACTGGTACAGATGCCCATGGATGTGTCATACCTGCCACAGGGAAAGAAGAGAGCACAGTGGGTCTCGAAATACAAGAGGCCACTGGTGCTGTGGCATCCTGCACAAGAAGCCCTCAGAAGTTTACTGCAATCTCAAGGCAAAGAGCAGTTTAGCCATTCCAGGATAAACTTAATCCCTATTTAATTGTTCAGTATAAAGCACTAGCAGTTCATTAATTGAAGTGATTAGTGATTTAGAACAGAGTCCCAAGGGAAGGAAAGCTGTCCTCCTCCTTTCCACTGAAGGGTCCCTACCAGAGACGTCCCCATTTGTGTTCTACTCCCACCCTGCACACAGCAGCTTTGGAGACAATAAAACCCAGGACTTATCTCTTTCCCTCAGGGGAAATCTTACTCTTGTGAGTGCCCAGAATCAAACTCATCTCTCTAATGAAGTCAGAGTGATTGTCAAAGAAGCTCTGTCTAGGGTGGTCCTCCCTGAATGACTAGGTACCCAAACTGAGACCCTGGAGAGTGATCAGGAGCTCCCTAAGAAGCCAAAGCTGGTGAGTTTTGCACCATGTGACAAGTAGCTGGATTTTTCTTTTCTTTTTTAAAGGCTCATGTAAAGGATCATTTGATACTGCATTTGACTGGATTCGCAAAGAAAGAAACCAGTATGGAGAAGTCATGGTGAGATTTAGCACGTATTTCTTCCGCAAAAGCTGGTACTGGCTTTATGAAAATCGAAACAACAGGACACGCTACGGGGATCCTATCCAAATCCTTGTTGGTTGGCACGGAATCCCAACACAAAACATAGACGCCTTCGTCCACATCTGGACATGGAGAAGAGATGAGCGTTATTTTTTTAAAGGTAAAGATTCAATGGATGGGTCTATTTATTGAACAGATGCATTAATAAATGAGCCCTTATGCAGGAATCTATTGTAATGCTCTTGTAATTACCTGCTAAATTTCTGTCTGCTCCATCACACTGGAAGTCCCCTGATCTTTTTACGAAGGTGCTTAAGTTATCAAATGAAAGAACGAGTGAATGAATTTTGCTAGGTACTGAGGTGGTTGCCAAAGAACTGTAAGAAAGGGCCCTGCTCTATGCAAGTTTTAATCTGGTTCTGGAGAAGGAAAAACCCACACACACTTGGAAGCCCACAAATTGTTTTAAAGGTGTAGACCAAGCAGAAGAGGTGACTACCGCCCCGGAATCAGGTGCTGGTGTCCCAGGAGTCAGGATTTGACCTAGACTTAGGGATGGGGAACATCTGGAAGGCCCAAGAAACGGCACCTGGGATGATATGAGAGGGTGGGTGGCCAGGGCCACGCTGCAGGGGCAAGCTGAGAGCTGGGAATCAAAGAGACACATCACGTGGCAGTGGCTGTCAAGGTGTGGCAGAGGGTGTACAGGAGATGAGGTCAGGCTGGAAAGACTGGCCGGGCTCACCATGGGGAGCTTCAGGTGCCAAGGTCAGGGGTTGAACTTCACTGAGCAGGCAGAGGGGAAGGAATGGCAGTTTCTAAGCAGGGAAGGTCAGTGCCTTGCTGCGAGGCAGAAGCTGACTTCTGCTGGTGGGTGCCCGGGTCACGTGCAGGGGCAGTAGGTCTGGGCTTCTTGAAGCTGCTTCTCCCTATTCCCAAAGGCCTTGTCAAGGACGCCCGTACCCAGTCCATTTGCTGGCTCCCTTTGCAAAACCAGACACAGAGTCTGATCCCAAACAGAAGTTTGTGGTCACTGGTCTTTCCTTCCCCTTTCCCACCCAGAGACAAGTCGCGTGTACTCTCTCTGCCTGAATCCTAGTAATAGAACCATATTGCTTCAAACTGCTCAAAAAGGTAACAAGGCAAGAGCCAAATGGAAAGACCTATATGTGCAAATTTTATCATAAGGATCCTGTGTATTAATCTGGCCTTAATTTTCCTTCACATAACACAAAAGAGGAATTATTTTAATTCAGTGACATGACAGTTGCCTCCTGGCAGACTTTCATAGTTCAGATCTTTCAGAGTTGAAAGCATACTTTTCAAGACTTTAAGAAGTCCCAAACTAGAATTTATGTTGGCAACGCTCAAAGAATCTTAATTATGGAACTAGGTCATCACGGGGGACTGCTACAGTATGGCTGTATTTCATTCTTGGAGTTTTAAAAATGTCTTATTTAATTTGCTATGAATAAATTTAAAAAAATTCCATTTAGAGTGAATTACATGTCTAACTGGACATATATCCCATTATTCTCAAATCGTAAACTTTTCCAAATATGGCAAATACTTGGTTGCTAAGGAATGTAACTGCTTGAGGTGCTCAGAGTTGTGAATGCAGAAGTATTTGACTCAGTGGATTTATTTTATTGTGTTGGCAACATGCCAACTATGCAGGATTAGGAATGAAGAGGAAAACCCTAGAATAACCCCCTGCTACTGTTTCTAAGCATGAAATTAGCATTTGAATTTTGTAACAAAATGGAGCAAAGTTACAAGGTTTCACAGGTCAGTAGATAATGTTTCAAGTGGGTGGAACTGCAGAGCCCTGGGCTGTAGCCCTTACCAACCTAGCTGTCTGAACTTGAGTCACTTTAATTCTTTAGTCTCCTCATTTGTAAAATGGAGGTGGTGGTGGAATTAGGTGAGTCCAAAACACTGGAGAAAGTTATCATCCAAAAATAAGCATGGTGACTTCTGTAAAAGGAGAGCTCACATCACTGAGAACAAGAACGTGGTTCCAACCTGTGGCCACTAACGTGTAAACAAAAAGATCTTTAGACTAAATTAAGATACTCGGGTACAAAAAGATGACATTATTTTTATGACAGCCAAGAGGAGGATGTGCATGGGCTGGGTGGGGTTCACTGTGAAAGGCAACCACCATTGTAACTATAGTTGTGATATCCAAGAAAAATGCATCCATCACTGGAGTCAAATCTAGAAGTCATCTCAAAGCCGGGAACACCATCCATTTGCGTGGAGGCTTCACTCAGCCCTCCCTTTCTCCTGGAAGAGCATATACGCACCTGGCTGAAGCCTGCATCGAAACCTGTCTCCTTTGCTAGGTTTCCTGTGACTCAATAATAATAAACCACATGAACATATATCGTTTGGCTCTCAGGAAATCAATACTGGAGATACGACAGTGACAAGGATCAGGCCTGCATAAATGACGAACAAGGAAAAAGCTACCCCAAACTGATTTCAGAAGGATTTCCTGGCATCCCAAGTCCCCTGGATACAGCGTTTTATGACCGTAGACAGCAGCTAATTTACTTCTTCCAGGGGTCGTTGGTAAGTTAAGAGGCTCTCCGGCCTAGTGCTGCACTATTATCCTTGACTGAGATTTGCCAGACAACCAAGTTCTTAGTTAAATGCAGTTTTCAATTTCTTCAGATCTAAGCACCAATGAGATCAATACAGATGGAAAATTAAGAAGGTCAAGTCTGAAGAATTTGGTGCCAAGTCAGAGTTATTGACCTCGGTGATATAAAGTAACATAATTTTCAGAAAAGCCCACCTGACTGTCTGCTTTGCTTTGCAGGTATTTGCATTTGATATCAACAGAAATCAAGTACTTAATTCTTATCCAATGAAGATTACTGAGGCTTTTCCGGCAGTAACACCACAAAACCACCCTTTCAGAAATATAGATTCTGCTTACTACTCCTACACACACAACTCCGCCTTCTTCTTCAAAGACAACGCCTACTGGAAAGTAGTTAACGACAAGGACGTACAACAGAAGCCTTGGCTCCCCCACAATGGTTTGCTTCCAAAAAAGTCTATTTCAGAGCAGTGGTTTGACATTTGTGACGTCCACATCTCCACACTGAACATGTAATGAGAAAGCAGGAACTGGAGACAGTGATCTGATTTCCTTCCTAAGAGAAAAAAAATGTGATTTTCCTTACAAAGAAAACAAACCAGTTTTTTCGTAGCTGACACGAAAATAGCTTCCTAAGCTAAACCCCAATGGAAAAAGCCTTACTTGAAATTTAGAAATAACTTGATTTAAAAATCAATTGCTCAGGCAAACAATAATTCACCAAATAATTTTACTGATTTTTCTGGGAAGCTTTTAAAAAGAACCAAAACCCAAGCATCTGTAAGAATCCCTGTCCGGGCTTCTACTCCAGGGGGCTCTGCTGCCCTCCCTGCACTCTCACCCCACCTGATCTGCGGGAGGTGAGAAGCCAGCCAGAGCCCTGGGTCAGCTCATCAAGGGAGGAGGTGCCACTCTGGAGGACACGGATGTGCCTTGGGATTCAACAGGGAAGTTCACAGAATGCAAATTAACTATGCTCCAACCCCCTGTGATAATGCCATTTCTCTGACTCTTGACAGCATACCAAAAGTTTTCTTCCCACATGTATTTCTCTTGATCGGCACAACTCTGCCAGCAGGGCAGATACCACAGTGCACATTTCAAGTTAAAGAAACTGAACTGCACTAGCTGTGTTGGCTTTGGTCCTGAAGCCAGATGTGCTCTTTGGTCTGAATGCTCAGACCTGTACCCCAGGTGGTCTTGAAGAGAACAGTTTTCCTGGCCTTTTATAATTTGTTTACTGTTTTCTTCTTCTTGAATAATTCTATTTTCCAGTACCGGCTGTAGTTAGGCAGGACAGCCCTTTAACTATTACATACTAGAACTATTAACTCTTAACCCAAACCCCAGTGGATAATGTGATGATGTGGACAAAATTCAGGCAATGAAATATTCTGAGAGATTCAGTAGCCTCAATGATCAGGCCGTAATAGCACATTTCTTTTTTTTTTTTTTGAGACAGAGTCTTATTATGTTGTCCTTGGTAGAGTGCCGTGGTGTCACAGCAACCTCAAACTCTTGGGCTTAAGTGATTCTCTTGCCCCATCTTCCCACATAGCTGGGAGTACAGGCACCTGCCACAATGCCCGGCTATTTTTCTGTTGCAGTTGTTGCTGTTGTTTAGCAGGCCCAGGCTGGGCTCGAACCTGCCAGCCTTGGTGTACATGGCCAGCTCCCTACCCACTGAGCTACGGCACCACCACACCCTCAAACTCTTGGGTTCAAGTGATTCACTTGTCTCAGCCTTGTAAGTAGTTGGGATTACAGGTGCTCACCCCAATGCTTTTTTTTTTTTTTCTGTTTTTGGCCAAGGCCGGGCCTGAACCTGTCACCCCTAGGATATGGGACCGGTGCCCCACTCCCTTAGCCCCAGGCAACACCCTACAATGCTATTTTTAGAGACGGGGTCTGGCTCTGGCTCAGGCTGGTCTTGAATTCATGAGCTCAGGTGATCTACCAGCCTCACCCCGAGTGCTGGGATGGGATTGCAGGCGTGAGCCACCGAGCCTGGCCACCACATTTCTTCTAAAACAACTGCTAATACAAGTATTTTAAAACACTTTACATTAAAATCAGCAAATTTAAATGTGTTAAGAATTTTTTTTTTCATTGTAGGAACTTTCTTATTTTTGCTTTGACAAGGGAAGATAGGTAGAATTTATATTTTCCTGCTTAAAAACAAATTTTCCTCTTGACTGGAAGGCTGTTCTGGTAAGGAGAGGGGCTACGAGACAGGATAAGCAACCCTATTACCCTAATGCCAGCTCATTTCTACGTAAATAGGAAACTCCTTTTTTAATTCATTAACCCAAAAGATGGTATTATTAATGGAGTTTCCAGGTTGAACCTGTCTGTGCAGGTGCTATAAGGGGAAGCTTTACAACTTGAGCACAACTTTAAATGCTTCAGTGATTAATTTTTGTAACCAGATGCAAATCTGTCCCCAAGACATTGCAAACTAAATCATCAAGGAAGCAGACAAATGGAGCGAGAGGACCGCTGGACTGTGATGGGTAACAACTTACTGCTGTAAAAACTCAGCTTCAGCTAGTTATTTCAGATGGTGCTTAGTGCAGTTCAGATTCCTACAGGTGTGGCTGTGCAGGAGCTGCTGCCAGCACCTCCGTTAACGCCGGCCTGCAGCAGGGTCACACACAAACCTCAACACACCACAGAAGAGTCTGTCTGCTTTAGGTGTTACACTACTTTTCTTGAAATTGAGGGTATTGATTACAAAGGAAAAATACATCCTTGTACAGGGGAGGATTACAAAAGGGTATGTTTGTGTGCAACTGAACAACAGCCAGGCAGCAGTAGCAGTAAGCAAAATATTATATGAGAACTTAATAGAATTTCACTTTTAATGTTTTGAGCTTTACTTTGTAAAGTTTATTAATTAGACTGAGTTCAAATCAAAACTCAATGTGAAGAATGCAAAATGGAAAAATACAAAGACATTTTAAATAAATAGTTTATTTATTCAAAATAGTTTTCTTACCTTATTCACAGTTTCAAGTTTAAAATAAAAAAAGAAGGGTAGTACCTATTCTTGATCATCATACAAAGTCAAAGAAGTGAATCCCTTGAGAACATGCACTCAATGCAGTGAACTGCACCACGCTCGTCTCCGACACATCTTGCACTGACGCTCAGACAGGGCAGCTTTTCTTCTGTGCAACTTAGAAGAAAACACTGTAGACGCCCAGGAGGTTTCTTTAACCCACCTGAACCTGTGAAATCATCTGGATAAAAGTTCTCTTGACCAAAGTAACAATTTTATCCAAAATAATCATATCTTAAATCCATATAGCTTAACATACTTCAAAAATACTTAAGAGTGTAATAGCATCACAGCAAATCTATGGAGGTACTATGTACTTCTCAGGGAAATAAATGCTGGAAGCTGGAAGTTTGATTCTGATTTTAGCACTTCCAATGAAGCCAAAAACCTCAACCACAATCTGTCTGTTGTAGGAATTAACTCTGTGTTTCCACCGCTGTACCTGTTTTACATGGATATTCCCCATATTTAATGAATGAAGCACCAACAGGCAAACCAGCTCCTGTGTTTGAAGGCACTGACAGCACGCTGTGGGCGCCTCTGTGCTCCAGTCACTGACCAGCGCCGCCACTCACTCCCCCACCCCCGTGGCCAAGCTGGCCCAGCAGAAGGATGATGACGTCGATTCTTTCCAAAAGACTTGCATTTTTGTTTGCAGTAGCTCTCAAAAGCTGGGAGTAAACTTGCTTGTTGGTTTTGAGGACTACATCTTCTTCAATGTTACTGCTGGGGTTAAAAAAAAGATAGTTAAAAGGAACTTTGATGTCCACCAACAAATAGTTCAGAGATCCAAAAACATCAATGAGAAGGGCTCCAGAGTCACTTTTCAGAGAAGCAGGTGTCTGCCACTGTCCGTGTCTTATCTACTTTCTTACATCTATTATTGCTCATGGGTCTGTTTTTAGATATTTCAATACATCAAGTAAAAGCAGCACTCATTCCTTTCACAAATATTTGAGTGCCACTGTGTACTAGGAACTGCTCTGGGCAGTAATAAAACAGACCAAAAAAGCCCCTCCCTTTGTGGAATCTGCATTCTCCTGAGGTAAGGGTTGGAGGGCAGGGACGCTGTAGGGGAAGCACGCAATGACTATTAAGCAAACAGTTCCAGATGAGCACGCACGGCGTGAAACACAGCAGAGATCAGCAGGGCAGAGGGAAGCTCACAGGGTGCTGGCGAGCACACGTCTAAAGAGACTGGCTGGCTGCGGGCTCTAAAGCTGGGCCCTTAGCCTCCAAACACAGATTCTGACTTCCATTTACTCTAAAAGTGTCCATGTGCCTTCTGTATGAAGAATGCCCTTCAGCTCAAGAGTACTATACAGCACTCTGTCTGAAAACTGTTAATGTTTACAGTTTGCTCTGAAAATACAATATTGACCCCTGATGATGGTTCAATGTATTATACTTTATGTTACTACTGGAAAAGGCCAGTAATTACATGGTAGTACCTGGAGTTCATTTCTAATACCCTTTTGTTTCCCCTTAATGAGTCCATATGCAACAAAGACCCCTCACTCATAGAATCAGGTAACAGCTAACAATTCCATGACACTTTACAGTATGCATGACCACATCTAAGCCTAATAATAACCCTGTCCCTTCAGATAGGCAAGACTAGTTAGTATTTTTATTTTGTAGATGTAAAAACTAAGGCCCAGAAAGGTTAACTAATGATTTGGATCAAGGTCAAAATGTCATGTTTTCCAATTTCGAATGCTATGCTCTTGTTCCTCTCTAGTGTGTAAACGCTCTCCATGACCCATTCCCCTTCCTAGTTCCTGGCTCCATTCATTCCTCCTCTACAGGACCCACCTCCCTGTCCTCAGAGACCTGTTCCCCTCCGACCCTCACCCCATCTCCTTTATCAGGCATATATTTCTTCTCTTCTCCTAATGCCAGCCACAGCACAGTAAAAGTGACTGGTCAAAATGCATTCAATGCAATCTGGGCCTGAGCTTTGCTGTGTTCGTTTTTAGAGAGAGTTAATATTCACAAAACTTTTAATGACCTTACAGAAAATCTAAGTTACTCTTTGATAGTAAAAAAGGCAGTAGCATTTAATAATTCAAAAAAGTATCTGAAATATAAATTATTTTCCATGGTGCCTAAAGGTAACTGATGGCTGCTAGGGTGTCTTTTAAATCCTTTGATTTGTTCTGATCATACTTCTAAATCATAAATCATTTTCCAATTTTATAAATCATGCCCTTCCTTAATCCAGTCTCATCAACAGTTTCATTAACCTATGACCCTTGCTCAAGGGTTCTATTGTTTCATAGGGTTTTCTTTTAACCAAAGGTAATAACTTGTATTGTTTTATTTTCCTTTTCACTACTTTCTTTTGAGACAAGAGTCTCACTTTCTATTCCTCCTCGGTAGAGTGCCCTGGTGTCACAGCTCACAGCAACCTCAGACTCCCAGGCTCAAGTGATCCTCTTGCTTCAGCCTCCCG